TAGGCTCTATTTGCATATCTAGGAGTCTGTGGGTCCTAAAGTACTCCAAAATTATAGGAGGATTTTTCAGTGAAAATATGGGTATTTTTTTCATGCTGGGCAACTCCTCCCATTTTATTTTTTACATTCACTAAAATCAGTGTACATTTTACCAATGGGTAAAATAATGTATTTTATTCTTACAGTGGAAAAATAAAAACGTAATTCACTATGGTAGTCTGTAATATTTTTAAAATACCAAAAATCTGGACCAGGCAGGCAATTTAACTTTTAGTCATATATGACATATATCTGAAGTCAATTATATGATTTGTATTTGAGAATCAAAAATGTCATAAATACACAGCTATTTCAATAAATCCAGGAAAAAATTTTTTTCTTGCTATATGGAAAAAAGCAAGTTTTATTTTTCATCCCTGCAATATTTTAAGGAGCTGTATTATTTGGTTTCACAGTAGCCTTTGGTGAAGACTCTATTTTTTATTTTTATTTGTTTTTTATAATACTTTGTAGGTAGACAGTATAGTTACATTCATTGTTGGGACCTTGTACCTTTACATGACAGGTCTTGGTTCTCATTTTTTTCCCTTTTCCCTGCCCTCCCTTCATCCCCTCCTCCCTTCCCTATTTACAAATACTTTATTTCCATTTTTTCATTTTCTCATACTTTTTTTCCCCTTGTTTCCTTTCCCCTACCCTTCCCACTTCCCCTACACCTTTAGCTCTTTTCTTCCTATTTCACATTGTCCATTATACCAGGACTCTAATAGTGTAGGTAACTGAGAACCACCGCAGTTTAATAATATAGTTTTGTGTTCAGTTTTTTCACTGTAAATTCATTATCTTGTTCAAATGTTGAACTCTATTTTGTCATTCTTACTATTATTCAAAATTCTATTGAAATGCATGCTTCAATACAAATTTCATCCACTTTTTATTGCCAGTGTTTCATGGTTGTATGCATGACAAAGCTTACATGTTAAAGAGAAAGATGTGTGCATTCATTCATTCATTCAAATGCTACTTACGATATGCCTCTTTTATACTAATTACTAAACTTAAGCTGGGAAAATAAGAGAGAAAAACAGACAAAAATAAATGATTTCATTTAATTTATATTTTTGTGGGGGGAGGCAGTTGATTAACATAATAAATAAATAAATTATATGTGTGCATCAAAGGAAGATAATGCCCATAGAGGAATATGTGCATCAGGTATATGGAAACATATAGTTTATTTCAGAAATACTTTTTATGATAGAGTAATTGAAAAGCTATGGAATTCATAAGATAAAGGGAGAGCTACAATATAATATAGCATTCAAGTTTATTTGTATATATTTAATATCACTTAGTGATGAGATGCCATATTTGACATTTTCATACCAAAAATTAATTTAATTTCTAATGCAACCTGATGAGGTAAGATTTGTTCCTTCAACTACATATATAAGAAAAGACATATCTGGAATAGATATATGATAGATTTAGAAAGATATCCTGGGCCGGGGGTTTAGCTCAGCAGTTTGGTGGCCTGCCTTGCAAGCGCAAGGACCCTAGTTCAATCCCTGGTACCAAAAAAAAAAAAAAAAAAAAAAAAAAAAGATGTCCCTACTGGACGAAGCAAGCAAGTTATAGAGCCAGGAATAAGTCCAAATTTTTGGTTCCCAATCCTTCTCTCATTATGCTACACATTGCTATATTTAACAATCCCTGTACTTTATCACAGCAGTCTATCCTTTCTTTATCTAAAGTGGTAAACAGATTTCAGATTTTGAAGTGCTTCCCCAAAAAATAGTACGTTCAGTTATAAAACAACTTTCATGTGGGCTAGCAAAATGATTTCGGAAAAGTATTCTGCTGGTCTCTCAGGAAGAAAGAAGTGAATCACTCAGAAGTTCATGTATAAACATTCAGGGATATTCATTCTTTTCTAATCTCTGGTCAGCAGTTCTAAACCTAGGTCAAGCTAGTTGTAGCGGTGGCCAGTGAGTAAATGTATTCTTTCACTAAAAATATATCTTTGAAACTGCAAGAGTAATCAGGAGCTCTGATTTCCAAAACTGCTGCTATTCACATTTAGTAATCCTGTATTTGCTCATGTGGTTGACATAATTGTTCACATAGTTTTTATTTCACTTATGCAGTGTGTTGCACCTGTTGTCAAACTGGCTAAAACTGTTCTTGCCCTTTGGTATGAGGCCATTCTGCTGATATAGTGTGTTATAAATATTACAAGGGAAGGGGCAGTTTATATTACAGGATAATACAACATAATTTAATATAAACAAGATAATTTCCTATTTATTCTCTATAGTTTGAGTTGTGAGTTAAAATATTAGTCTAAGCTATAAAGGTTACAACAAAATATGGCCAGTAATTATACTTTAAAATATACTATACATAATATATACTAGAATAAGTTACATCGCTCCTGCTTAAATTGATCCTGGTTGGGAGAAAAGGAGGGGTAATATCTTTCAATATTAAAATTAAAATAGTTAAAAACTCAAAATACATTCTCCTCATGTGAAATCCCTGTTATACTTAAGTCAGCTGTAATAAAGAGGGTCATTCTGTGATTATGAAAATAATGTGACAAGAGAATTTGGATCTTGTGTGTTTCACTCCAGTGGCACTGCTATATTTGGAAGCTTCTGTCTTCCCTTTCACCTAGATTTGTTTACTCTGCCCTCTTAATGGCTACTTGGTTCTAGCCCCCTCTGTCAAAAGACACAACTGGGTTTCTGTTTCAAATATCTCTTACAAGTGTATCATAATTCCAACTTTTGCTAGTGAACCATTTCCCAATTTTCAGGTAAGTTCTTGAATGTAAGTAGCTTCCTCATCAGTACAGTAAGGCATTCTTTGACAAGGGAAAATAGGTAAGCATGTCTTTCCAGAGTACCATGTATGGAAGATATTATTAGTTAGCATTCTGTCCCTTTCATCACACACCTCATGTATTAAGCACCTATGGAAGCATGTGCCAGGCAGATCTGCAACTCAGGAAGCTCTTTGAACGGATTTTTCTTTATGATGTATTATTATTATTTTAGAATGCACACAGCACGTCCTATGTGGTACACATAGCCTTAAAACATCGGCAGATATGAACTCTCCAGTTATCATAGCACTTTCAGGAGAAAGGTGGTGTCCAAGACCACACAGCTACACCAGGGAGCTTGTGAAGATAATGATTCAGATCCTGCAGTCTGGCTTTCGACTTGCTGCTTCCTGCACTTCACTAGGCTTATTTTTTTTTTTTTAATTTTTGCATGGCAATAGTTTGTATGCAGTGGAAACTAAGATGTGGCTCCTGTCCTTACAGGGTTTATAATCTAAATTTGCTTGTTATTTCTATCCATATCTTCAAAGATTTTGATAGAGCACTAAGGCTCATAATTTAACTGCTTTCATTTATTAAGCCCCTGTCGTGTATGTGTTCTGGAATAAGCGTTAGAGATTCACCAGCAATGCAGGCCTGGTTGTGAGGGAACTGGCATGAAGAAATGCAGTATCTTTTCATAAATGCTTAATGCAATATGTGCCTCAATTAAAATTTCAATTAAAATTTTCCAAAAGAAATAATGTTTGAGGGATGGTTTAGAATTTGATGGATGAATAGAAGAAGAAGGAACTGTAAATGGAAGACACGAGGATGAATAAAGGGCAGTTGGAGTTGAAGAATGGAAATGATTAAGTGTGATGTGACCAGAGGAGAGATGTGGGGCCCAAGTGTAATGGTCTTGTTTTTCTCTGATAGAGAACTAGAAACAACTCTATCAGTAATGGGAAATAATAAAGACGTTGAAGTGATGAAAAAATCATAATGTGTGCTTTAGACCTTTGTTTGTTTGTTTGGTTTGTAGTACTTAGGATTAAACCTAGGGCTTTGGACATGCTAGGCAAGTGCTCTATCATTAGACTAGACCACTTGCCCCTTAAAACATTTATTTTCATTATGAGACAGTCTCACTAAACTGGTCTTGAACTTGTGATACACCTTCCTTAGCCTTCCACATAGCTGAGATTACAGGCATTCACCGCCACATCCCGCTTAGACCCACTAAATGGACAAGTTGAGAGCTGCTATTAGAAGTAATTGGGCTTTTACTATTTTCCTCTCATCTTTTTCCACCATCTTCTTTGTTCTCTCATTTTTTTTTTGCCTGACCTCCATCCAATCTCATCCCTCTCTCCAGTAATAAAAGATATCTTTATTTTGTCAAAGTTTAATGTCAGGTTTTCAGAGTAACACCCAGTATCTGTCATTAAACCTTATAATGAATTTACATTTTAGTCTTTCTACTTTTCAAATTCAAAAATTCCCTTGTTTATGGAATTTGAAGCACCATTGTGAGAAAGAAGAATATTTATGTATGGGGAAGTGGTGAGCTATTACAGGAAGAAGATGGATGATGGAACTTCAGTAGCTGTCCTTTTCTTATGCTTGTACCCATCCTGCTGCAGAGATGTTTTCAAGTTTTTCCCTGTCCTAATTGAGAAACACAGCAGCATTGTGTATCTCCACTCAGCTCCCAGCTTACTCTCAGATCTTCACTTCTGCATCACGGCCTTCCAGGTCTAGCCCTTCTTTGTTTCCTCTACCATGTTTTCCTAAAATAGGAATTAAAAGATGATGTAGCTGGAACTCCTTTATAAAAAAGTACATGTAGATGACAATCACAGCGACTCATTTATATTTTCACCTAGAGTGGAACTCTGTTTCTATGCAGCAGTTTTTCCTGAAGGAGCTCTATATTTTCATGGCTTAAAACTTTCGTCTTTCGGTATGTAAGAGTGAGAATTCTATTCTCCTTCACCTCTTAGGAGGTTGTTTTTGTCCTTGACAGCCTTTCAGTGACTCTGTCTTCTTTTCTGGAGAAAAATGTACAGAATAAATTTCTGAATGGCCCTTGGTTTGCGTTAATGATGTCCTTCAAGGTAAACGTACTGATTGTTCATGTTGAATTTTCATGACTGCTTTCTTTTCTTAGATAGAAGAATCGATGGAGACACACTTTGGCGGTGACGGCAGACAGGCTATACTCTACCGGCCTCCTTCCTACAGCGAAACAGAGCTGAGGCTCTACCAGCGCGTCCTCACAGAGCATCGCTATTCTGTTGTCATCACTGAAGAAAAGTTCAGCGCTGGCCGTGGGCTGGAGCTGGTAGGACAAGGTCAGAATGATGCGTAACTGCCAAAGTCACTTGATAAAAATTATAAACAATTTCTAGAATACACCACTGTGTGCCTCTAGAGTTTTCCCCCCATCATCAACTTTCTCGCGTCATAGAAAATTTAGCTCCTTTTTTCTACTTCCTCTGAGTTTTTCTTTAGCTAGGTCTCTTCCTGAAATTATTTTGTTTACATTTTTGTCACATTTTGGAGTAGCATAGTTCATATTTAAATGCTACATTAAAAATGTTTATGTTTATTAGCCAGCCCAGCACCAAACTGCTCCATATTTTACGAAAATTGCCACTTCATTTGACTGCAAGTACAATGTGCTAGAAATTGTTTCAAGAAGCTATCTTAAATGGGATTCACAGATGGCTGTAAGTATGAAAGAAGTAAGGATATTTATTATATATGCTGTTAATCATCAAGTACTTTTCCATCAGTTGAAGAGGAAAAATAAGAGACAAGTGTTTTAGCAAGTTATTTGAAAAGAAAATTGAGTAGATGATGAGGGTTAAAAGGGCAATAATAGCTTCATTTCTTGAGCAACTAACCATAGGACAGACTATGTACACTCTGTATTTATGACCTTATTTAATTATTAAATTTAATTATTAAATCACCTCTGGATTACTTCTAATACAAGGTAAATACTGTACAGTATATGATTGTTGTATTATTTAGGAAATAAGGACAAGAAAAAAGCCTGTAGTGCAAGTGCAAGTTTTTAAAATATTTCAATCCATGGTTGGTTGACTCTGGATGTGGAACCCATAAATATGAAAGGCTGACTGTGAATCTATTTTCCTAATTCGTAAAAGTGACAGGAAATTTGAATTAACTGCTGATTTCTGTGATGGTTTCCTTTGGGAAAGAATGGTCAGATCCTGGTGCCAAACTACATTTCAAAACAAACTTGGCATCATCCTCATACTTCTTTTTCAGTTAATGCCCCCTTGTTGGCTTGTGCTGGTGAAAGGAAGTTGGGGAATAGTTTTTGAGAAAGTGGGGTAATATTTAGTCTCAGTTATCCTTCACATTGACAGTACGCTACTTAGCTAGCAAAGTTCTGAAGGATAGAGCCCAAGATTTGGTTTGCTTTTGTGTTCAGTACTGGAGATCCAACCCAAGACCTCACAAATGTTAGGTAAGTGTTCTACCACTGAGCTACACCCACAATCCTTTTTTTAAAACCAGAGTCTCACTAAGTTGTCTGCTGTGGCCTTGAAATTTATTTATTTATTTTATTTTATTTATTTTTTGGTACCGGGGATTGAACTCAGGTCCTTGCATCTGCAAGGCAGGCCACCAAACCACTGAGCTAAATCCCCGGCCCTGGCCTTGAAATTTAGATCTTCTGCCTCAGGTTCCTCAGTAGCTGGGATTACAAAAGAAGTACTATTTTGATAAGAAAGTCTTAAAATGTGCAGACCATGTGCCAAGAGGGTGGGTCTTTCGTGAATGCCATTGACTATTCACTACCTCTTAGGGATAGTTTGGAAATTTGAAGTACTGGGCTTCAGGAAAAAAATGAGGAAAAACAGAATCAACATGAAAGCTCTGGAATATTAGCAAAAGCTGAAAACAATGTTTGCAGATCTCATAGTTTTGTTGGTGTTGCTCTATTAAGAAGAGCCAATGCAATGTTCCGGAACATCCATATGTGATATTCTCTAAAACCTATTCATCAGACTAGCTATTGATGTAAAGAAAGATAGGAAATATGCAGCCTCATTCCACAAGACGTTCCTTCACTACACAGGGTGATTGTATTGACACTGTCGCCTAAGCTGTGCTCTGGATGTCATGCAGAGTAGCCCTGATGACAGGACACTAGGCCTGAGGGTCCTCTACTCCCCTATCTTCTTTCTGTTGCCTCTGACTTACTGTGGATACAACATGGATTATCTGTGCATCTCAACTTCAATTTTCAATTTTCTCCAGCTGCAAAACAGATGGAATACTTCGTTTCTCTCCTTTGATATCTTTGGGTCAGTTTTACAAGGAAAAAGAGGATTGCTTTTCAGCTTCCAGATATCAAGGAAGTGCAAAGACAGCTTGAAGGCAATGGAACTTGGCAGCCAAAGTTGCTGCATCGGCCTGCGGAGGCCCAGTGCAGAAGATAACTATATGGTGTCACCAGCATTTGTCAGTGTAAATGCTGATTTGTTTCCTTTTTCTCACATTTCCACAGCTTTAAAAACATCTTCCTAACTTTCTTGGCATTCCTTTATTCTGTATCATAAACTGTTGTCCCTGGATAGGCCTCAAAAAAGGGTAGTGATTTCACAATTTCGTGAGTATGAAACATTGAGTTTTGGTTTTATTATTTGATTTTGAATTATTTTTTACTATAGAGCAGTATGTATAAAACACCTGAAATAAAACAGTTCTATGATCCTAATCTAATATTTTTCTTGATTATTTATCGCACAAGGGGAAAAACATTAAAAAACTGTAGCTTATTTTCCATGGCCACCAATTTAATCTATAAATTATGTTTGAATTGAGGCACTTACTATAAAAACAGTTTCTAGATATATGATTCTTATAGAATCTGTTATTCTTTCATCTTCACTGCCTGGTTATTTTCCTGGGCATATATAAACTATGTATGAAGCTATACTGGCACATCTAAACTTAACCTCCCCAAGCAAAGCAGCCTGGAGCAACTGAAAACAATTCAGAATGATCTGGAGCCCTATCAAATTCCAGCCTCAGTTTTGCCATTGCAGTTTCTGCTGTTTGCTAACTCACAATTTGAAACTATTACATTAAAACCAAGGTAGATGTTCCCACAAATGCTACTGAGTACCTATGTGCAGTTTTGACACATTGATAAAACACATTCAGTCACAGGAAAGTAAATATAAAATGTATTTTCCTTTTTGTACCTGTCCATTCTGTCTGCTTTTCGCCTCTCTCCTGACTTGATTGCAGTCACTCTTGTTGTCTTCTTTTTTGTGCTATCCTTCAAGCACAGGCGGCCTTTTTCTAACCTGGAACCACTTCTTTTAACCTTTTAAGGACAGAAATGAATAAAAATTAGAAAAAAAAAATCATAAGGCACACAGATAACTCTGTACTATACTCAGTACTGGTAGAGCAACATTTGGGCTTTATGTTTTATTAATTTTCCCACTACTTATTTGGTAAATACCCTTTGAAAAGAAAAGTAGGCAATCTCAGATCCTAAATAAGAATATGAGCAGTATCCCACCCCTGTTAATTTATGCTTGTGGCATAAGAGGATGAGAAAGCTTGTAGGGCTGTGAATAAACCACCTTAAACAAAATCTTAGTTCTCCGAGTGATGGCTTTCTATCTGTTAAAGGCAGCAGTAATATTTACTTTAGAGTAGTATGTGGTATGTATTTAATCATTGATTCAACCCCATGATAGTTCTGAAAGGAGACAAAGAGAAGTCAAACCAACATTTTTAATCTCCTTCAGTAGTCTGTGAATGGAACCCAGATTCTTTTTTTTTGGCACCGGGGATTGACCTCAGGTCCTTGCGCTTACAAGGCAGGCAGTGGAATCACTGAGCTAAACCCCCAGCCTGAACTCAGATTCTTATATTTTAAAAACAGATATAAATTATTGTCTTAAAATTTTGTATTAGTAAGTATTAGAAAACCTACAGAATGGGAAGATTTTTGCTAGCTATTGCTCAGAGGAGTAATATCTAGAATATGTAAAGAACTCAAAACACTAGACTCCCCCAAAATAAAAGACCTAATAAAAAATGGGCAAGTGAAATAAATAGACACCTCACAGAAGCAGCACAGATACCTAATAAACACATGAAGAAATGCTCAGCATCACTGGTCATTAGAGAAATGCAAATTAAAACAGCACTAAGATTCCATCTTACCTCAAAAAGAATGACTATAGTTAAGAAATGAAATAATAACAAATGCTGGCAAGTAGGGAAGAAGGAACCCTTCTACATTCTTGGTGGCAATGTCAAACCACTACGAAAATGATTTTGAAGATTCCTTAAAAAACTAAAACGAGATACAAGTTCAGTGGTGCATTGGGTCATGAACTTAATTTGTACTATGATTTTGGAAAAGATGGCCACATTTGTGTTTGTGTGGGAAAGATGGTTATAGTCATGTTTGTTACCTGATGCAGAGTTTGCAAACCAAAACAAAATTTTGCCAAACACTTAGGTTTGGGAACCAAATTGTTTACAAAGTGTTCATGAAACGAGATATTCTCGTGTATAGATTGGGCACTGTTCTAAGAGATATATTATTGGTTTAAAGACTAATCATTTTTACAGTTAATTTTGAAAATAAAATGATGTAGAAGTCTACTTGCTATTATGCCATTGCAGTACTTATAATTTAACAGTATAGATATTTACAATGAGTAATTCATTTTAAAGCTGGTTTTGAAAACAGTAGGTGGATATTTTTCCTTTCAGAGTCTACTGAACATTATATAATGAAAACATACATATATGGTCTTTAGATCCTTTGATTTGGGAAAATATATCTTATATCCCTGCATTTGTAAGAACATATAATTTTCTAAAGGAAAAGAAGCATCGTCCAATTATTCTCATTCCTCCCATATAAGTGCTACTTAGTAAGTCATTGCATTGTGGCCCAAGAGAAATGTTTTCCAGAAGTTCTAAAACTACTCCCCAGAATGAAATCCAAGCAGTATCTGGTCTAAAAGACCGACTTAGGATAGATTTTATCATTGGATCAGATTACTTGTGTATACTTGAAGAATAGTACATACTTAGGAATTTTCTATCAACTTTAAATAAATTGTGCACATTCATACTATGTGTTTTATAATCTATGTGAAAAATAAAATACAGACATTCTATCAAAGCTATAGAATTTGAGTTACATTTATGGTTTCAGATTGCTTTTGTTTTAGTAATGTTGGGGTTTTACATAGTACATTTTTTTGAAGAAATGCCAAAAGTAAAAGTCCTTACTGGTTTTCTTGCCAGGAGTTCGCAAACTGTACCCTATTGG